GGACCTGGCAGCTGGGGGGCTACTGCCAGGGAGAAGCCATGATTCCTGGGACAAGAGTGCTGAAGCCATGGTAGATAGATGCGGGTGGAGTCAGGAGCTGAAGGAGGAAATTCCATCAGGCAGGCCCCTCTGAGAAGTCAGCCTTTCTCCCCCAAGTCTGGGTAGGATGCCCACATGTGCACTGCTGCAACGCAGAGGTAACACTCTGGGCACTTTGGGGAGCGGTGTCCAGTGTGTGTATATTTTATATACAGACACATTTATTTTCCCAAATGTGGGACTGATTTTATAGCAAAGCTGTTATAACTTGTGGCTTCTCACTGGGGGTTGTATGGCTGCCAAGGGGATGGCGAGATAGAGGTGAGGAGGCTGTGGGAAGGAGGCGCACTGGCCTGGCTGGTGGATGGCACATTCTGAACCATGCTGCATTGAATTGATAGCTTTTTTTGTGTATTTATTTATTTTTTGAGATGGAGTCTTGCTTTGTCACCCAGGCTAGAGTACAGTGGCATGATCTTGGCTCACAGCACCTCTGCCTCCCGGGTTTAAGCAATTCTCCTGCCTCAGTTGCCTGAGTATCTGGGATTACAGGTGCGCACCACCATGCCCGGCTAATTTTTTTTGCGTTTTTAGTAACAGGGTTTCATCACGTTGGCCAGGCTGGTTTTGAACTTCTGAACTCAAGTGTTTTAGTGATTTTCCTACCTCAGCCTCCTGAAGTGCTATGATTACAGGTGTGAGCCACTGTGCCTGGCCTTTTCTTTCTTTCTTTTTTTTTTTTTTGAGATGCAGTTTCCATCTGTGTTGCCCAGGCTTGAGTGCAGTGGCACAATCTTGGCTCACTGCAACCTCCGCTTCCCGGGTTCAAGTGATTCTCCTATCTCAGCCTCCCAAGTAGCTGGGATTACAGGTGCCCACCACTACACCTGGCTAATTTTTGTATTTTTAGTAGAGACAGAGTTTCACCATGTTGGCCAGGTTGGTCTCGATCTCCTAACCTCAGGTGATCTGCCCACCTCGGCCTCCCAAAGTGCTGGGATTACAGGCGTGACTCACTGTGCCTAGCTGGCCTTTTCTTTTCTTTTCTTTTCTTTGGGAGACAGAATCTTGGCTCACTGCAACCTTCACCTCCCAGGTTCAAGCAAATCTTGTGCCTCAGCCTCCCAAGTAGCTGAGATTACAGGCCTGTGCCATCACGCCAAGCTAGTTTTTGTATTTTTAGTAGAGGCTCGGTTTTGCCACATTGGTCAGTCTGGTTTTGAACTCTGACCTCAAGTGATCCACTTGCCTCAGCTTCCCAAAGTGCTGGCATTACAGGTGTGAGCCACCATGCTCAGCAGTACTCATGTCGTCACATGTCTGTGAACACAGCCACCTGCCTGGCACTGTCCGCCTCCTGTGTTCTACTCCCACTTGGGTCCTGCGCTCATGTTCACAGTGATGTCGTGGGTCTGCCCACGTTTCTCCGTGTAGCTCTGCTGGGCTTCCTTCAGCAGCCGTGCAGTGGAGTCTGTAGGTGATAGAGAATTCATTCAACCAGCCACCTAGGGGCAGACATGTAGGCGGTTGCTGCTTTCCTTTTTCAGCTGTCCTGTAGTGGACATCTGTGACAGGTGCCTCTGGGCTGTGGGGATCGTGTGCCTGGGGATGCCTGGGCTGGGCATTCCAGATCCTCTTCAGCTGTCATTGTTGGGCCGCTTCTCGCTGACCCTGGTCTCCCCTTCCTGTGGCTTTGGGAGGGGAAATGAGTGTGGCCACCTGCCTGCCACTGTCTGCTTCCTGCCTCCTCTGAGGCCTGCCTTTGTCCTCAGCCCAGGTGGCCTTCAGGAAGACATTGGAGAAGGAAGCAAGGGGAGTAGAGCCTGACATCGCCATCCCCAAGTTCAAGCAGAGAAAGGGGGAGTCCGACGGTGCCTACACCCAGCGCATGCAGCAGGAGGCCCAGCACGTGCTGTTCCTCAGCAAGAACCAGGCCACCCGGCAGCCAGAGGTGCAGGCAGCTCCCAAGGAGAAGTCTGAGCAGAAAAAAGCGTGAGTGAAGGCAGGAGGGGTCGGGACCTGCCCCTGGAACAGAAGGAAAGGCACTGGGTCCCCATGATGGCCCTCTGCAGGGACCCCATTTCATAGCCATGGGGCAGCCCCACCCACCCTGCTCAGATTCAGGGAAACCAAGCCGGAGCCCTACTAGTTGGCGAATCAGAGTGCCCAGCTGGGAGCCAGTGAAGCTGTGGCCTACAGGAGGCTGTGGAATCTGGGAACTCTGAAGAGCCCTTGCTTGGTCCTTGCTTTTCTCAGGAAAAGCACCAGAAGCCCTGCCCCTGCGGGAATCAGCCCTGGGGGATTGGTCTGAGGGTGACACCTACAGGGGTTCTGTTTGAAGTAAGGCCCTTCCTAGTCCAAGAGACTTGAGGGCGCTGGCTGTGCTGGCCGTGCTGTCCCTGCAGCTCTGTGGCATCTCCTCAGCCTGGGCTTCCTCAGCTGTACAGTGGAGATAGTGGGGCTGCCATGAGGTTCAGATGGGTTTGTCATTTCATTTCTAGGGATGGTGGCGGTAGGAGTAGTAAGCCCACCACAAGCATTCCCTGCAGGCAGGATGGGAAGGCAGTTTCAACAGAGGGTTTTTTTTTTTTTGAGACAGAGTTTCACTCTTGTTACCCAGACTGGAGTGCAATGGTGCAATCTGGGCTCACCGCAACCTCCGCCTCCTGAGTTCAATCAATTCTCCTGCCTCAGCCTCCCAAGTAGCTGGGACTACAGGCGTATGCACCATGCCCAGCTAATTTTTGTGTTTTTAGTAGAGACGGGGTTTCACCATGTTGACCAGGATGGTCTCCATCTCGACCTCGTGATCCACCTGCCTCAGCCTCCCAAAGTGCTAGGATTACAGGTA